ATTTGATGAAAATGGTAGCTGTACCGGAATAAACTTAAAAAGAAAACCATCTTCAACTTTCCACTGTGGAAATGAACCAGGTGAAGCTAAAATCTTTTGCTTCATAGTCTCATACCATGCGTCAGTATGGTCTAAATCTATATTCAAAACGGAAATTTGCGGACATACAAAAGAATCATTATCTAAAATATCTGAAGAAGAAACTTTATGATTGGTAGTGGTGGATCTATAAAAATTCTTAACACATAATAACCACTTCTTCCAATCAGATTCTGAAAATAAATTTCTGGGTTTGAATTTTTTTTGAACTACATGACCAGAAACACGAGTTCGTCCAATTAGTTTTTTGAACATTTGGGACACGCCGGTGACTTAACACCTAAATTACCACATTTAAAACAAAAAACCTTACGTTTCTGTCGACAATCATGAAATGTATGATTTGGACCAGAACAATTCCAACAAACTAAACGCGAGGTTGCTTTCTTACCTGAATTTTCTACAGATCGGGGCATACTCGAAGTATTTACCATATCAGGGTCAGAAGACGACGACGCTACAGAATAACTAGCAGACCGAACAGTAGTATTTTTATTTTTGTTTTGAGCATTGACATTCTTAGACTTTTTACAAAACTGTACTCGATGAGAATCAGACGAGCTAGAATCAGGAGTGGTATTCAATTGAGAAACATTTAAACTTCTAGATCGTTTTTCATTCTGATGTTTAGCATTTTCTAATTTTCTACACAAATTAGAGAGTTCAGACACAGATAAAACATCAACTAAAGCTAACTGAGTAATGTATTCAGGAAGTAAATTTTGTCTAATGATTTTTATTTTAGTAACCTCACTAGGGCATTTACTTAATCTACTAAAAAGATTCTCTAAAGTTGCTATAAAAATTAAAATACTTTCATTTTTTTCGCTGTTTATAAGATCTAATTTGTGACCAAATATTATCATCATTATCTGGTGGTAAAAAGTCTTTCTTTAATCTTTCTACAAGAGATTTCCAATCTGCGACATGTTGTTTAATACTTCTATACCAAATAAAAAGCATTACCAGTAAAAAAGTTCTACTGCAGAAGAAAATAAATCTTGTTCAATAACTTTACGTGATTCAGAAAGCTCAGTAACAGTTTCTAAAAATGAAAATAAATCTTGAGGATTACCATTAAATTTAATAGGCCAGTCTGACACTGGACAAGGTTTAGCAACATAAGTAACAATAGGAGGCGGTACATTAATAACTGGTCCTGAAGGAACAGAACTAACGTTTAAAGTTTCATTAATGTCTGAAGTTTTTGACAAGCAGGTCAGCTTCAAGTTGATAACAACTAGTATAAACATCAGTTTGAATAGTTTCTGCATCAGCACGATTTTCATCTAAAATTATTCTCTTGATTCTACCAGCCAAATGCGCAAGACGAGATCTTATAACTTTGAACATTGAATCATTTACTCCACCCTCAAATTCAGAAATTGACAAGGAAATTGAATCTAAAGTTGCTTTAATTTCTGAAATTTCTTGATCAAAAAAAACAGGATAATCTTCCATATTAACTAAACAAAAAGGGTTATTTACTTCTCTACTTAAAAGACCTGACAAAATTTTACGTTTACTGTCAACATTTTTAGATGTTTTAATACCCCTAATAAGAAGTTCGTAATCTAATTCTACTTGTCGTAAATGATTAACTTTAAAAGATTCTTTCTCCATTGTAATTCAGCTATATGAAATGCTAAAGTCTAAATGATTCAGAAAAACTTACTAATTTTAACAAAAAGCTGTTATGATTCGGCGCAAACTATCAGAAAGAAAATATGTTCAATGTCAAAACCAAAAAAGATTCAAGTATTCGAAACAAATTCCAAAATTTTATGAAATACTAACAGTGCTACCCTGTATACTGAAATTATGTCCACTCTGTATATTCAAAATATAACCATACCTGTATATTTAAATCAAAATCGAAACGTCAATAAAAAATGTAGTCAGAAATACGTATTAAGTTATTTATCTGGGTTTTAAATAGATAAACAAACACCCTCAAGAATTTATAAAACAAAAAAATTGCTGTTGAACTGAAATTATTAGAATTTAATTACAGAAATAATGAAAATAAAATTTCAAAACTATAGTCTTTGCCTTATAGAAAATTTATCTGAGCCTAACAAAAATTATTTTACAAAGTCTACCAAATAAGTGAAGCAAATTAAATTAAATTGAGCCAATTAAACTAAGTCGAGCCAATTAAACCAAGTAAAGCCCCACGTGACAGGGCGTCATATTCTTTATTCTTCTATTTGTGTGACGACTTTTTCTGTCATCCTCAAACAGAAGAAAAAAAGTATCCGTTGCTCAGGGTTAGAGGAGAGCTGGGTTCGTAGGTAAGGCTTGTGATCTGTGGTGACTTAATAATGTAGTTAAATAATAAAATAAAAGTAATAATGTATAGGCTGCAAAAGATTCTAAAATTGATGTTAAGTATTCAAATAGTAATGGTCAAAGACAGTAAAAGGGCGCCACTTACTTTGGGTATGAAAAGGTAAAGTAAGAAACCAGTAAGAAAGAATTTGATCATGAAATAGCTAAAATAAAATAATCAACAGCAATAAGGGTCTATTATGTTCATCAAGAATAAAAGTCAGATATAACTATCCTACGTTGAACATTTATTTAAAAACGAACACAATTATCAATCAGTTTAAACCCAGTTTCAATTATCCCAATGAAATCGTTAGTTACTTTAAGTAAACTCAAATTTAGTTAGAGTTCTCTCAGTATACTATATTACGTAATATATAAACAGGTGAAATTTATGTAAGTACCAATACGATGATGTTTCGAAACAAGTCGTGTACAATAACCTTCAAAAATGAATCCGTGTTAGCGATTCTCACATAAAAGATCATACTGAAGTAAAACGTACCGTTAAGGACAAAGCATGACTTATAATGTTAACTAAAAGGTAAATTTTGACTATAATATATGGAATAAATGACAACAATTTACAGAGAGATATTCAAAATATTGTCTCAAAGTAAAAGAAATTTAGGGAATACCTTGTGTGTTGAACTTAGAACTTATCTGTATTTTTTTTTTATTTTGTGACGTAGTGAACAGGTAGGCAGGCAGTCTCAGACTAACGGAAGTGGATGTAGACTCTTCGATAGTAGCAGGAGTCTTCGATATCAGTAGAATAAATGTAGGAGTCATAAATACTGTCTCAAAAGTGGTTACTCATATGCCAATTACTTATACGTCAATTTCTTATACGCCAGTTACTCTATAAAAAAAACTCTCAGAACAGTCACCGAATACCAAAAAATAACTTACGGTCTGAAAATCAGCTGTACACATTCCAAAATATAGCCAAACTATATGCTGATCCAAACCAGTCATGCACAATCAAACATTATCAAAATAAATAAAAAACGGGAATAACTGAAATAAAATTTAGTTAGACATGGCGATACAAAATGGTAGATACACTTACTGTGATCTTATTCCAGGAAAAGGCCAAAGAAACACGAACTAGGCTCTGAACAGTATATTCTACAGGATTTCAAATCTCCACTTTTGGATACCCGTGCCTTTCCTGTTAGGAAAAGTGTTTCAGAAAGCCCTTTTTCTCTGAGATTCGTCGGACGCTGAACCACGCGTCTTTTTCTGATCTCCTTCTCTCGGAAAAAGCCTCCTTCCTCCTTTTCTTAAAACGGAACTCTTCGAATTGACAGGTCATATGACCAAAGGCAATTAAGTGAACTCTATCGTCTATACTGAATGAAATTTGTTTTTATGGAAAGGAACCGCTACCTGTACTGAATGAAGTTTAACATCTAGCGAATAGATGGCGCCAGCAATATTAAAATTTGGAATTTTATAAAAAGAAAAATAAAACGCTACAATATCAGTTCGTAGGAGATTAGAAAAAAAAAAGATATTTATAGTATAAAAATTAATTTATTTAACAAAATTTAATTAAAGATGTGACAAAATAGTTACATTTCTATTGGTTCTATCGGACTTTTTTCGACTATATAAATCTTATTTTTTGTAAACTTTAATGCATAAAATATTTTCAATCTAATAAATAATTTAATGATGTAAATAAGAGGAAATTTCTCACATGGGTGGTCAAATTCACATGGGTGGAGAAATTTCCTCTTGTTTACATCATTAAATGATTTATTAGATTGAAAATATTTGATGTATTAAAGTTTACAAATAAAGATTTATATAGTCGAAAAAAGTCCAATATAACCAATAGAAAGGTAACTATTTTGTCACATTTTTAATTAAATTTTGTTAAATAAATTAATTTTTATACTATAAATATTTTTTTTTCCTTATAAATAAACACATTTGCATCCCATTTTAAATAAGATATACAAATTACAAAAACTTAGAAATAACAGTTCAAAAGTTCAACAAAAATCCTACACGCGTTTGTAAAAAGAAACATATAACCACGCACTATGTCATTCCAGCAAGCGAATACGACACAGCATAGGTTTCCGGACCATACGACTGGTGTATTTACACCACTCAATAGGCGTGTCGGGTTTGCCGAGCGGTTTCCGATGCAGTCGCTTTCTTTCGCATCTGATATGATCGAATAAAAATCGGCGTCAGCAATGGCTATGAAATGAAGATCGCTGTCATTTTAAGCAAAATAAAACACTGAATCACCACAGTACACCAAAACACTTTTACTTTTACACTGGACGCGCGTTTCGCTAACCATGTTAGCATCATCAGCAGATGATTAAAACTGCATCAGGAGATGATTAAAACTTCAGTTTTAATCACAGTTTTAATCAAGAATTTATATCATTACGAAAGTTTTATTTTAAAAATTTGTATCTTTTGAAAAAGGTAATAGATTTAATTAAGAGGTGAAAGAATAAATAAATATCAGCAAAATATTCACAGAGCTAGTTAACGTAGCGATGCACCTTCCGGTATATAATTTCTATTTAATTTGGACTTACTTGCATTCCATGTTCAACTAATTTTTCTGCAATAGAAACTCCAATTCCAGCACTAGCTCCAGTCACTACTGCAACTTTACCGACCCATTTTTCCATAGACAGAACCATTTTCTTTATCACATTTTATTTCTATTTTTTGCTTTATATAATATATTACACTAATTGAATATAATTGTTGCATTAATTGATTTATATAATAATTGTTCTGTTTAGTTAATTTAACATCGTCTTACTATGACGTATCCGATATTTTTTTCTGAAAAATTAATTTACTATTATGTTTTATTATTAATAACTATATCTATAGTACTCTAAACATTTATGAGGTTTTTATGAAACAAAGCTACATTTATTTTGCATTTTATTCATGATTTTGTCTGCAAGAAATCAGATGCACGCATAAGCTTTGAAAAAATTACCAGGCGACCAGGTCTAAAAAGACTTTCTTTTGGCTATCAAATCGTAAACATATTTCATTAAGAAAAAAACCAAAAATTCGGTCTACTAATTTTTATTGCCTATGAAAATTACATGTTAATATCATTCTTGTAGTGAAATAAGTAGTTCTAAGTCGATGGTGATAATTGCGAGCTGCAAGTGCACGGATTACAAGTTTACATTGGGCATCCAAAGTTTGACGAATTAGATCTAATATTCTGATCAGTAGTGAACGAATCGTAGAATTCTGTAAACTCTGGCAACGTTCAGGGTACCTATTCTTGACCACACTCATCTTCAAATATCACTTGCATCTCCGAGAAAGCCACATAATAATACATGTAAATGCGCATCCGGAATAGTAACCTATTAAATATTTTTAGTACATTTATTGTATACCGGGTGCCTTTCAAAAGTGAAAAAAACGAGATTTGGCATATTAGTATATGACAAAAATTAAGATTGATTGACGTATTCAATTGTCTTTAGCCACTTCTTGTTTCACCGGAAACGACTACAACTTTTGATTTTTAAATGGCACTCTCGGTTTTTTTTACTTCATTCGATAGAAAATGACACTCTGAATAGGATGATATATCATATGTCAACTTGTGACATTTTCGTATGGTTTATTTGAATTTGTAACATGCAGTATATTACGACAATTTGGGCATCGATTGGCAAGATACTATTTGGGCATCTTTTAAGCGGCCAGGGCGAGACACTATTTTTCCAAGACTCCTTGATTAAAAATTAGTGTTTTTAAAACAGCCATGGCACTCTAGACTGAAATTTAAAATACGTTTTTGTTTTAGGCAAAAATGTCAAAAGTTGACATAGGCTGTCATTCTATTCAGAATGCCATTTTCTATCGAATAAAGTAAAAATATACCGAAGGTGCCATTTAAGAATCAAAAGTTGTAGTCATTTCCGGTTAAACAGGAAGTGACCAAAAACAATTGAATAAGTCCATCAATCCTAATTTATGTCATATACTAAAATACCAAATCTCGTTTTTTTATCTGAAAAAAATAAAGAAGTTACAGGGGTGAGCCGCTTTTGAGACACGCCCGGTATACTGGGTGTTTGGTTTGGTATAAATTTTTATATCACGCAGTATATTGTTTACATCAAAATCCTCCATAGTTAACCTTAGTAAATCAATTTGGCGATTTTCTTCGGTCGTAGAGCGCTATATTTTAAAAAATCTTTCTCATGTTAATTTGTAAATTTGAAGTACCTAACATTAAAAAGAGTACTATCGCAAAAAATCGCAATAAGAAACTGTCATTTTTAATTTCTCAAAACCATTAGGTATTCAAAAATCTAATTGAATTGTTGGCACTTTTTGCCCCATTAACATTTTTCTTCTACCAAAGTTAAAATAATAATAAAAAAAATAGTGCATACTTCAAGCAATCACTTTCCAGCGCAACACTCAATGCTTATTACAGCATTTTTCAACCTGTCAAGCAAAATGGAAACTTAAATGGCAGGCTGTCAACTGGCGTAAACTAAAGTTTTGTTTTCCATAGCCTTCTGTGTTAGACTAGCAGTATAATAAAACGATTTTACTATGGAAATTAAGCATAACTATCTAATTTAAATTACAGTACGAATTTAATTATTAGCCAAAGAAAAACTATGAGATATAACTCTAATTCATTATTATTTTTTATCAAGTTGGAATGTTCTATATAAATGAGATAATATTATCAAAAGTGGCATTTCTAAAGGTTACTTTTTACCACTTAGATTTTAATTCTAGCCCTATGTGGGATAGAGCCAAGTTCTTGAATTCCTCTTTTAGTTGGTTTCCACTTTAGAAAGCAGAACGTTTCTGGTACAGTTAGTGGAGTATTCGCTTCTTTTCTGGCTAGATCATTTGCTTTTTCATTACCTTCTATCCCTTGGTGAGCTGGTACCCAGAGTAAGAGGACTTGTTTTCTTTGCCTAATTTGTTCAGCTTCTCTAGGTCTTCTTTGACCAATTTCGAATTATTGATTGATACTGTTTGGAATTGGGCAGGGCACATTGCAAGTCTAAACGATGACCGATGACACGCTGCATTCAGGAGCAGAGGCCGTCCTTCAGCCAGATGGCATGACGACTTAAGGCGTATCCACAGTAACTGGATGCAAATAGCTCAAGAAAGAGAGTTATGGAAGCAAACGAGGGAGGCCTACGTCCAGCAGTGGACTTTAGTGGCTGGTTGATGATGATGATGATGATTGATAATGAGTTGATCGCTTTTAACGCTGCTTAACTATCAGATAAGATGACTATTTCATGTTTCGGATAATTTTTATCTAAGATAAGTTGTACGCATTTTTATACAAGTCTTGGTCTTTTGTTGGTCTTGCAAACATGGAATCATCAAGAGAGAGAGAGATAGCGAAAAGCGTCTTTGGGGTTCCAGCCTGAGAAAGGAGCCCTAATTCCGAACTTTCTTTAGTATCACAATAGTACAATGTACATTTTATTAGTTATATTGTAATTATTGCAGAAAAAAAATCGGATATGTCATATCAAGACTAGGTTAAATTAGATAAACAGAACAATTACTATTTAAGCTAATTACTGTAATAACATTCTATTAGTGTGATGCCGTTATATAAGCAAGAAATTTTAGTCAAACGTATTAAAGAAAATGACACTGTCAATGGAAAAATGGGTCGGTCAAGTTGCGGTAGTGACTGGAAGCAGTGCTGGGATTGGCCTTTCTATTACAGAAAAACTAGTTGAACATGGAATGAAAGTAAGTCCAAATTGAATAGAAATAATATTCCTGGAAAACACCTGCATTTCGTCAATTTAAGTCTACCTAGTCTACCTACTAGTATAGTCTGTCCAACGAGGAGATCCTTGACAGTGATAGATGTGTCTGTCATTTTAATTTCAAAGTAGTTTATTTTATTTTACAAAGAAATAAGTTGGTACAACTGGAACGCATAGCAGGAAATTAATATATATGTATTTAAAATTTGACTGACAAGTAACTTCAAAATATTGTGAAAAAAACTGTATAAAACTGAAAAATGTAATCGAGTTATTTTATTAATAAAAAACGGTATGTGTTAATACAAAACAAACAAAAACAAGACACCACATACCAAAAAATATAAAAAAGAACCATTTCTTACTTTCAAGCTTTATGAAACTTCCCGCATTTATGATTATATTTATCAATATAACTTATGTACAAATACAAATTTGTAATATTCCGCAGGAATAAATAAAACAACATAAATAAAACAAACTACTTTATTAAGAATAACACTTACCAAATTTTATACGTCACAGGTTGATTAATTAACTTTAATCTTAATTTTTTTTTAAACCAGTACCTTTTGACATTATTTTTCTGCAGTACTAAAATCCATTATTTACCTATAGTGTGATGTCGATATTTTACAGCTACTCCAGTTTTTAGTATGTGTTTAGTATGGTCCTTCTACCATATTCGAGATGCACTTATCTCCGACGACGACGAGATGGTATACGAACTTTATTGATAGTAACTTTAATGGTGTATCTGTATAAAGGTGCGTATTCATTATCCGCACGAACGAACGAACGAACGAACGAATGTTCGCTAGTGGTATGGACGGGGACCGCACGATAGGACCGCACGAGAAGACCGGAGGCATTTGTTGGCGAACGCCTTTGATGTACCGACTCGAAACGGATGGTAGAGCGAACGAACGAACGAACGGCCGCATGCGTTCGGTCCCCGTCTAAATATACCGCACTTTCATTCGTTCGTTCGTTCGTTCGGATAATGAATACGCACCTTAAGACTTTCTGCCTGGGCGGCGAGTATTATCCATAAACTGTACTCTGGGTTCTACAGTTAATTTTCACTCGATTTTTCCTCCACTTGACTTCAAAAGACACAAAACACGTAATAACACGAATCAAAATGCATCATCTTCCAAAACGCAGAGTATTTGACAAAAGTTGTCACAAAATTATAACCACAAACTAACGTTAGGTTAGTCTGTGTTATAACCTATAATTTGGCAAGACTTTGACAAACGTCAAAAATCTAAAGGTGAGTTCATACGCATCGGCGTCCGTTTGTCGTTCATCGTTCCGTCAAACCAATAAAATTGAAATACGATCTGTCATTTTTGAAATAAACCAATAAAACTGGTTAAAAACAACAAGTGACCACGCATGACGAATTTATATTTAAACCCATCCATAGTTAACTTAAAAATTATTAGAAACTTTTTTTAGTAAAATAAATAGATTGGTATGGGACGTCATCTGCTTTTCTTCTGTCATCGTCTGTCGAAATCTTACCTGAGAAAAAAAAACAGAGTATATCATCATCTCTCTACAGTATGTCCCCGGATTGTCTTTACAAGATAAAAAAACTTTTTTGTCGTTGACATTTTCAGAAAAAGGCATACGTTATAAAAAATTTTGCTTGTTTCAAAATGGTTAATCCCGTTTATACTTTTCCAAATTTCCATACCGTTATGGAGAAAATTAAGGAAAACATGAAAATCTGGTTAATTTTTTTTCTACGATCCAAAACTTCTAAAAATCAAAAGGCGTTTCTATGGTAATATAAATTCAATTTCATTTTTTGATAGATGGTTATAGTCTAAGAGCTAGCAATGTTTTCGAGAAAGTATTTTAAGACGTCTGGCTCTTTGATATATCTTTTACTATGCTCTCTGGAACAGCATGCGGCCCGTCTGGCTGCCGATACCCGTTGCGTTTACTACTGCGCATCGGAAGAAGATCCTATATTTTTTATTAATTTAGTCCTATAAATTCTAGTATTGAATATAAATCGAACATGTCTCCATAGCGCAGTGCGTAGAGTTTCCGACCACGAACCGAAGATTCAGAGTTCAAATCCGGGTCAGGTCAAAGATTTTTTTCGTTTATATTCTGATAGTAAAGTATTAAATAATTCTGGTAATTAAAAAAAACAAATATTTAATACTTTACTATCGTAATATAAACCAAAATAAAAATAAAAGTCTTTGACCTGACCCGGATTTGAACTCTGAATCTTCGGTTCGTGTTCGGAAACTCTACGCACTGCGCTATGGTGACATGTTCGTTTTATATTCAATACTAGAATTTAAAGGACTAATAAAAATATAGGATCTTCTTTCAATGCGCAGTAGGGAACGCAACGTTTACCGGCAGACAGACGGGCCGCATGCTGTTCTAGAGAGCATAGTAAAAGATGTATCAAAGAAAAGAGCCAGACGTCTTAAAATACTTCTTTTTCCGACGTTGCTAGCTCTCGTACTATTATAATTAATTTTGATTCATTTCATATTCTCTGCTGTTGTTAAAGTATCATATTTTCCGATAACTATCATCACCCTTTCCGTAGCATTGAACTAAATAAATTTTGTGCTTCTTTAACATTTTGAAACAACAAAAAACATTACGTTAATTCAAATTCTATGAATAACAATCTATGAAAGAATGAAAACGAAGATATATTACCACAGAAACGCGTTTTAATTTTTAGGACTTCAGCTTCATTCAGAACCTCGCAATTAGTGGAATAAATTAGTAGTTTGGTTTGGTTTGGTTTGGTATTAGTAGTTTGAATTAGCGTAGAAGTTTGTTCCTTTTAGTAGACATTTTCAATTTTTTCACTAATTATACTTCAAAATTTGCAAGAAATGTCATTTTGGCCTTTTATTATCTTCTGTCAAGAGAAATTGTGGTTAGAAATCAAAAGTTCATTGTTTTGTAAGCTAAATGTTAGGCTTTCTCTATGGATACAACTGACTAAGGCAAGCTGTTGTTAGGATATTCTATTAATTTTAATTGTGTTTTTTAAACATTGTGAATGACCGTAAACTAAAAAGTATAAAGTGTAATTGAAACCACTAATTGATTCCACTAATTACGAGGTTCTGAATGAAGCTTAAAAAGTATAAAGTGTAATGGAAACCACTGATTTATTCCACTAATTGCAAGGTTCTGAATGAAGATTTAAAAAAGAAACTTAGAACTGTTAAAGTAATGTTAATAAAACTCTAAAAAAATTTATTTGGAATAATCATACTAAATATTAGCAATAATCGCAACCATATCCAGTCCAAAAAAATTGGTGATTTTTTAACGTTTATGCAGAACCGTACACAGTACTTTGATTGAAGCTACTTTTCCCAAATTAAAACTGTCAAAACTATCAAAAACTTCTATATTGGTATTTCGTATTATTTTTAACGTATTATTATTTTTGTATTTAATATTATTTTTGTAAACACCGAACGTCAACGGTTTTTCTAGATGTATCTGTTTTAAAAAAATTAAAGTGTTTTCGAATAGTTGAATTTAAATGTTTTAAATAGTTTTTTTTTCTTTATTCTTTGTAATTTTTTTTTGCTTCCGACGACAGAAAGAGATAAACTTACTTTCCGAAACGTTAAGCATTTTTTTTGTTCGTTAGGCAAATTTGTATATTTGTAAACCTAACTGCTGACAAGTAGTTTCTGTTTGGATCAAGGCAGCAGTCTTTACAAAAAATAACTATTTTATTTTGTAGATTTTCTTACAGTGGCGAAATACCCATATAGGATTTTTTGGAGAGATGAATCCGCCACATAGATATAGATATTTTTTTATCAAAAACTTGTGTAAAACTGGAATAATTTTCTATTTTCTCGGTTAAAAGTACTATCTCATAAATAATGGTATGTTATTTTCAGGTAGTTGGATTGGCTCGTCGGAAAGTTTTAATGGAAGAGCATAAGAATCGATGGAAGAACAAAAAAGGAACATTTCATCCCGTCCAATGTGACATAACGAAGGAATCTGATCTTGTGAACGCTTTTGAATGGATAAAGAAAAATTTGGGCCCAGTGTCGGTGCTGATTAATAACGCTGGCAAAGGCGGCGATACGACTTTAATAAATGGTAATAATTAATAACATATACCGGATATTTCTCAAAAGTGGCTCACCCTTATAACTTTTTTATTTTTTCAAATAAAAAAAACGAAATTTGGTATGTGCGTATATGCAGAGCTGCAACAAGTCAGTTTTAAAACGACTTAAGTGTTAAGTCATTTCTAAACTCAAAATGATTTAAGTTTTTAGTGAAATTTAACATAAAATTCAAATAATTTAAGTTTAAAGTGACTTAATTAAGTCTAAAATGACTTAAGTCTTTGACTTAAGTCATTTTATTTCAGGTCAAGTCATTTTTCTAAAGACTTAAATCAATATAACGTTATTTAAGTCGTTTTTATGACCTAAGTCAATATTTTTGACTTAGAATGTAGAATGTTTAGGAGGGGAGATAATCACCGCGACCTTATAGATCTATTGTGTGTTCCCCTTTCTTGAGTTATAACGAGTTATAACTCATCATACAGTCTCAGGGCTCTAACAAAAGCCAGTATCTGAGACGGCTCCACAGAGGCCAGTTCTCCATCCTCGACATCAGACGTACCAAGGTTCATGGCACGAATGGTCGTCGTCTCGGCGCTTTCAGTGATAAGGTGTTCTGGTGTTTCCCCATTTTCCCCACAAAATCTGCATTCGCCGTTGTTTCTCAGTTTCAGCCTACTGAGGTGTTCGTTGAGGAGACAGTGTCCTGTTAGAAACCCCGTGACAATCCGAATATTGTTTTTACTTAAATCATGGAAAACCTTTGATTTTTCTCGGTCATAAGTTCTGAGGAACTTTTTCGAGTGTCTTAGACCGTTGGAGGACACCCATTTCAAGTTACGGATGGAGTCTTCCAGATTCTTCAGTTCCGCTTTCAGTTGGTTCCCGTTTGGAAAACAGAACGGTTCTGGTACAGTTAGTGGAGTATTCGCTTCTTTTCTGGCTAGATCATTTGCTTTTTCATTACCTTCTATCCCTTGGTGAGCTGGTACCCAGAGTAAGAGGACTTGTTTTCTTTGCCTAATTTGTTGAGCTTCTCTAGGCATTCTTTGACCAATTTCGAATTGATGGTTACTGAGTTGATCGCGTTAAGTGCTGCTTAACTATCGGATAGGATGGCAATTTCCTGTTTTCGATAGTTTCTATCTAAGATAAATTGTACGCATCTTTCGATAGCGCAAATTTCTGCCTGAAGGATACTGGGGTAGGTGCCCATTGGTTCGGAATATTTAGTTTTCGGCCCAAATACTCCTATCCCTGTCCCTGCTTTGGTTTTGGAAGCATCAGTATACCACGTGATGGTATGGTCTTTTATATGCTGAGTAAGCGTTTCTTTCTTCCAATCCTTTTTATTACTCAGTACTACAGTGAGGTGTTTCTCGAAGTTGTAAATTCTTGGTATGGCATCCACTGGGAGTTGGAGAAGTGGAATTTTCTTTTTGAGGGTGTTCCAAGCCCCTGACCTGAAAATTCTCCCAGTACTGTTTCCGTCAATGACCATTCTATTCACTGTCGCATTGGCATAACTACCGACGACAATATGCAGTTGTGTTAGGTCTAGAATGACCTCCATTGCTGCTGTTGGACATGTTCTCATGGCACCTGTGATGCAGATACATGCCAGTCTCTGTACTTTGCACAGGTTTTGCCTTGATGTACGTTGCTCTAGTTTTATATACTAAGCAACTGCTCCATAAGTAATCATGGGTCTTACTATCATGGTATACATCCAGCGCAAAATGTTTGACTGCAAAATTTTTGACTTAACTCATGATGATCTGCAAGTTAAATCAGTAAAATCACTTAAATCAATATAATTACCCTCAAGCCAAGACAATCAGAATTCAATTTAAGTACCTTTTATTATTAATATTAATTTTATTGTATTACCAATAAGCGATTTTCTTATAAGTATCATATTAATTATTTATTAATTTATTGTAAATACAGATGGTACAAAAAACGTAATTGCCAAATGACACTGAAACACTGAAAATTTACACAAAATGTAATTGTCAATATGACATTACCACAATAGTCACCAAAGCCACAACGTCACAGATATCAAACAATATTATCAAAAAGTAATGATATTAAAAAAAAAATGCAAATTGTTGGTGGCAGGATCATTTCGCTCTTTAAAATTAACCAAGGCCTGATGTATTTACATAAATCAAAAAACAAAATTATCAGGAGACTGTAAAATAATGTCTAAGGAATTTTTTTTACAGACGAAATTATTGCACAGGGTGTTTTAATATTAGATATTAGGGTAAAAGACAACCCTTCGATTAACCTTCTACTATAATAAACCAAATATTAAAGTTTAAAAAAAAATGAGTTTACGAATTATAGTCGACATACATATTTATATATACAATTCCTTAAAAAATCATAAAAATAGGGTTAAAAAAATATAACACTTATAATACAGGGTGAGTCTTCAATAAGTGCAAATATTTTCGGGGCTAATAGATCTCAACAAAAGAAACATATTTTCTCTTTACCGTTTTTCAAATAACTCCAAAATAACTTACCGAGTTATTTTATTTTGAAAATTAAAAAAAAAACAGATTTTTTGGTTTAGTTTTGGGAACCATTAGATCTTTTCTGGGTTTTCTTTCTTGTAAATTTAGTTTACTACCCATGTAACTATATCATCAAGATATTAAGTTTTTTAACTTAAAATCATAACATTTTCAAAAAATTCCAAATTTTCCTTTTTTTGCGAATAAAACCTCATAGACGTGTTTCTGGGGTCGACATATACTGCCTCTAGTAATATTTGCACTTATTTAAGACTCACTCTGTATACTAAATTTTCCGAAAAATTTTTCCATTGCGTTTTTTTGCATCTATGTGTATTTTATCTGATTTTGCCTTGTATTTGCATTTTACCTTCGCCTTAATGTCAAGAAAAGTTAGATATAAGTATTCACATAAAATGTTTTTCAGGTGATGTTGAATTATGGAAAGGTATTTTCGCCCTCAACGTTCTAGGTTTATGTATAGCCACTAGGGAGGCAATCAATCATATGATAGAAAGCAATATTAATGGTCACGTAATCCATATAAACAGTATTGCAGGTACAAACTTTACTACTCAACGTACTTCAAAAAAATTAAAACTAATTAATGGCGTACTATGTTTTAAAAATAGGAAACTATTGGATTCAACTAGGTATTTAACTTTTTTTTTAATAAATAGTACTTTAACCGCAAGTATGTAGATTAAATGATACTTTTACAGCGAGGATAGGTTAAAATCTTTATTTCTTCTCGCACGTTTTTTAATTGCTTCCATTTTTGAAAATGTTTGTATTCCTTTTCATAAGTTATTCGGGATTTAAATGGAAGTAGTTTGGATATGGCATTTGTCGCCTCAGCCTGAATATCTGTTGGTAATTTACTTATTTGGTTTTGAGCCATTTCTGGCTCCAATTCAATCAGCAATCGACACGAAAGAGAATTAAAAAATATTGGCTCAAAACTGACAACTAAAGAGACAGCTTTATTTATTTGCCAAATTACATAGAAACCAACGCCAACCCGGCACAATATTTTTTCTACTCGTAATAAATCCCTTGAAATAATAATTTCTGAATATTTTTTAAAACGTAACTTGCTATGAAAAAAAAAATATTTTATACACGTCTTCCGAAATTAATTCACTAGCGATTTCATCGCTCATGAATTAATATTTTCGGTCGACGATAAAATACCATTTTATCGTCTTGTATAAAAAATAACTATTAAAGTCTATGTACAAATATTAATGTGTATTTGAGTTTGTTAATTTTACAGAAATAATGCTCATTCGCCTCGGTTGATTATACAAAAACGGAAAGATGTAGAAACAATGTGCACAATTTAAAATTATTTTAAAATATACAGGGTGTCTCAGAACTAAGATCCATACCAAAGTTATATTTTTTCTTATGGAACACCCGGTATTTTATTTCATTTTTGGATTCTTGGGCCCAAAAAAAGACATTTATTATAAGGGTTTAATATGTTTAAAATCATTGGTTTTTGAGATATTTAAATATGCATGCTACAAGAGAATTGATTATTAAGACCCTGTACATTACTTTTCAGAATTAATTCTTGTGCTGAGTTTAAAGGCAAAAAAATTAACTTTACTGAAAAATGTTATTGCTTCCTTAAATTTATACAGGGGTACCAAAAATTAGTGATCCTAGCTCAGATTTTTAATAAAAAGCGATTTTTCAATAAAATGGCAATTAAGATAGCTGGTGTCGCGATGACAATTTGCTAGTGAGAGTAACTATTTTCAAAATCGACATTAGTTTATAGACTTTATTTAAATCTATACCAGTTTACTTTTATTTAATTGACCTACAATACTGTAAATAATATTTATTAATATGGATTTATTATTTTATCAAGAAAAACGAAGAAGTAGTTCTTTGTTTTATTTTACGATGTAACTTGTAGATATATGAATTTTTTATAAAATAGCCAATTACGGCAAATTCAGTTTCTTCACTTCCAACGACAGGTTTCTGCCTAATAGGTTTTTTATAAACTACACTACCAATTCTACGAAATAGGAAATAGGACAAGTAGTTTTTCAAAGGAACGCTTATCAGGAAGATTCCTATTTGGATATATTTGAGCATTAGCTCTTGCTCTTGAAGCAAAGAAATATTTTTTTCTTACAAAATAAAATCACTGGTAACATATCCATTCGTTCCACCAACAGATATGGCTTTATTTTTCTTCATAAAATAAAGAATACTTACTTATTAAACTATTGTGGGTAAATTTTAGTAAACTGTTTAAATAATAATGTCCATACACTAATGTCGATTTTGAAAATACTAACTGTCACTAGAAAATTGCCATGGCGATACCAGGCATCTTGACTGACATTTTATTTAAAAATCGCTTTTTATTCAAAATCTGAGATAGATAGGTAAAGGAAACCCTAATATAGTTTGAAAGAGCATTTGAATCTGCTTCGATTTATTTAAAAAAATACAGGGTGTTGTATTTGAAATAACAAAGTTTTTATGTAAAATAAATCCTGAAAGTAGATCACTAATTTTTGGTACCCCTGTATAAATTTAAGGCAACAATAACATTTTTCAGTAAAGTTTATTTCCTTATCTTTAAACTCAGCACAAGAATTAATTCTGAAAAGTAATATACAGGGTGTTGATAATCAATTTTCTTGTAGCATGCATATTTAAATATCTTTAAATATCTCAAAAACCAATGATTTTAAACATATTTAACCCTTATAATAAATGCCTTTTTTTGGGTCTAAGAATCCAAAAATGAAATAAAATACCGGGTGTTCCATAAGAAAAAATATAACTTTGGTATGGATCTTAGTTCTGAGACGCCTTGTATATTTCAAAATAATTTTAAATTGTGCACATTGCCTCGACACATATACCCATAAAATATTTTGATTTTACATCTTTCCGTTTTCGTATAATCAACCGAGGCCGATGAGGTGCGCCACCCTGTATATTTAAGACTAGTATTAGTATAATTTTCAAAATTATAGGTCATTATATACCATTTCACCAATACTCAAATATATATCCTGCATCCAAATTCGCAGTAACTGCATTGGTGGAGACATTAAGAAGGGAACTCAATCTAACTAAGTCTAAAATTAAAATCAGTGTAAGTATAAGTTGATGGTAACAGGGGCGGATACAAGAATTTATTTTAGGGGGGGGGCCAAATAAAAAATTATGTAGAATATGCTGTTTAGGGCGCAATTTTTAACCCAAAAGGCTCATATTTAACACAATTTAGAGATTTTAGGGGGGGCCCGGGCCCCATGGGCCCCCCCTGCATCCGCCACTGGATGGTAATAAACTAATATAATAATAAGAGTAGTAGCAGGTCATCTTAATAGTTCTATTAAGTATTATTATGATATATGTACATAGTGATGTAAGGGGTAATATTACCGATAATTTTGGTAATATTACGTAATATTACCACAAGATCGGTAACATTGGAAAGAGATGGGGCTCCTTTGTTTCTTATCTAAAAAGCTTTTTGGACACTAAACGCTCCCTAAAGCTTAGCAGTTGATGACATCCCAGATATTTCTGATGTTCTTTCACCAAACACAGTAGCCCTTCTGCTAAGAAACTTATGACTTGTTCAAGCCACTCTCTAAGTGGATAACGATTTTTGAAGCTAACCGGCCAGCAATACAAAATGTTTTTATCTTGTTTTTTATTTATTATAAGGTCTATATTACGTAGCAACATATCAGATTCTTCTCGTTGGAAAACGAGAAATTGAACTGAAAAAAACAAGCAAGTAAATGTTAAAGACCTATTCATCTTCCTCTACCTATTCATATATTCTGCCTACCTATGGAGAAGAACATCCAAGAATGGTAGAAGCTGCTGAAGAAAGAAATGGAAGAAGCAGATATCGATTTCGAAGGACTAGACTTGTCTCAAGTAACGAAAAAGAAACAGATGACAAGATTGAGGATGATTTACCATTATACACTTTACTACGTACTACAACATAGGCCACTCTGATTCTGGCTAGTTTAAAAAACGTTCTGGTTCTGCTCTTTTTTGTAATGCTTTACAGTTTTAAAATAAAAAATAATATTATTTAAAAATCTGTTTTTTATAAATTACCAATGTTACTCTAATATTACGTTATACTACCGATAATATTAGCGATTTATAAATTACCGGTAATTTTACATTACTATACATACCGGATGCATCTCAAAAGTGGTTCACCCCTATAACATTTTTATTTTTTCAGTTAAAAAACGAGATTTGGTATGTTAGTAGGTATGTGACATGTATATGACATAAATTAGAATTGATGACGAAATCAATTTTATTATTTTCGGTCACTTCAGTAGAGGGAGATGGCCGATTCACCATCCGCCGCAAGGAGACGGAAGTGACGTCATATGACGTCATCAGCTAGGAACACGTAAAATACGCTAATAAACAAGAATAAACAGGTTTGAACCGCTTTGAACCGCTTTTGAACTGCTTTAAACCGCTTTTTAGCTTATTACAACAGACCTGTTCATTTTTTGTTCAAACCTGTTTATTTCTGTTTTAAATCTTTTTCGTTTATGCTTGTTTATTAGCGTATTTTACATGTTCCTAGCTGATGACGTCACATGACGTCACTTCCGGCTCCTTGCGGCGCACGGTGGGGCCGATTGAAGAATCGTTGGCCAAAACCTTCAAAGATATATGAATCAACCAAAAATATATAGAATTTAACAGTTTTTGCTTAATTGAATTTCTAGGTAGTTAATCTTCAAAATTTTAGTTAATTAAATTATAGTTCACGTATATACCCAGCATATTAGCTCATCAATATAATGTGAGAAAAAATACCCGGATGACAAAACTTTTACACATTTGCCTTGCAAGCCATTTCGAATATTGTTGTGGCATGTCTGTGTGTCTGTCTGTCTGTTTATCGGTCTGTTTGATCCGATTTTTTTATCCGTATGTAACCAACAACTTTGATAAAAAAATAAATATTGTTTTTGGATTCTAGTTTTGAAGAAGTAAAAAAATAATTCATTCGTGGTCTCACATGTCTCAAAATGAGTAGTAGGCACGTAATCAAGAAAGTATGGGCTAGATTTTTCGAGTACCTATTCCAGGCAAGCGTCTAAAAATTAATTTCGGATGATGAGGGGGTTCCAAAAATTTTAATAACCATTTCGGGGGAAGGGTGAATTTTTTTTTCTCCTTCTATTTTTGGATTTGAACAACTAAAAGGTTTTAAATTTAGCGCAATGTAATGTGTTTAAAAATAATTTGTTTAAATGCTTAAATTTTTAAAATCGGTTCATTATTTGAGTACGTATCATAGTTTGAATTTACGTGCGGATATTTTAATAAGTTTAGCAGCCATCTTGAAATTTTAAAATGTCATATTTAGATTAAAACGTAATATTTTTAAACATATTGCCTTACTTCAAATCTCCATGTTGTTCCATTAAAAAGATAAAAAAGGAGTGGGGACATTGTATATTATCTAAGCCTCGATCTAAGCATTAATTCAGTTAAAACCCACAAAATTTGTAGATTTGAGGTGGGGTGGGACTGAAGGGTCTAGGACTCTTGGACCCCCTAACTATGTGCTTGATTACAGGCGATTCATGAGTATCAGATTTTATTAAAATCACACGAACTTAATCTAAATAAATCATAAAGACCTATAGTATCTATTACTCAAAGTACCAGGGATATACAGTAGAACCCCAATTATCCGAGTCGCAATTATCCGAGCTCCGGATTAACCGATCCAATCTAAATACCCTGATTATCCGAGGTCGCGCGTCTATGCTCCGTATTAACCGAGCTTCTAAAATATACTATATGTATATTTACATATTTCCGTTTAAAATCGTTGGGACCGACGGGGAATCCCCTTGGCCCGTGTGAGTGGTTCTCTTTATTTATATTTTTGGACTCTTTTAGCATGTAAATTTGAGTGAATGTAGCTCGTTATTGCGTTCACTACGAAGAAGTAGTATACGTACGTACTCGCATGATTTATCGGGGTGGGGTTCTAGTTAAGTGTATACCAACTACTTTGTTTAAATTTTCGTTTGTCGTATTATAATGGAATGAAACAAACGTAAAAGAATTGTCGTTCCTATTGAAGAAAAATTAAAAGCCATTAGGAGAATTCAAGCAGGAGAGACAATTAAAACTGTTGCACGAGATTGTGGAGTAGGTGAGGTAACAGTTGGAGATTGGAACAGAAACTAGGCACTAAAATAGAAGAATGGTGTATAAAACAAGCCTCTTCGTCTTCAAGAACAAAATCAATGAAAAAAGGCGACTATGAAAAAGTTAACGAAGCTTTATTCACGTGGTTTACTCAGCAAAGATCAAAAGGTGTGCCTCTGTCAGGTCCCATTTTGCAGCAAAAAGCAATAAGATTAGTAAACAATTTCCAGAGACAGATAGGGTTACCAGCAGTTCTGGATGGAAAGGTCCTGTACAAATTTAAATGAGACAGAAGAACAAGAAAGTTTATTAGAATTAATGCAAAACTTAAAAGGTTGCGAAAATGTGACAAGACAAGACGTTGATGAATGGGTTACAGCAGATGATTTAGAAGAAGAAATGACTATTGAAGAAATAGCGAACGCTTTTCGGGAAACCGAAAAATCAGATGACGATAACTATGACGAAGAGGTGGATGAACAGCCTTCCACTAAGATTACCCATCAAGAAGGTTTTGCATCTCTGGAAACAGCTCTGAGGTGTTACAATCAGAGGCAACCCCAGCGGATTTGCTTCTTCTTAACAGGTGGAGAAATATGGCAGCGAGAAAAAGAAGATGCAATATGAAACAGCAGCGCATAGATACTTATTTCACTGTTTTATAATGTAGATAGTATCTACATATGTAGGTACTTATGTATTTACATGTTAAAAATGTCAATAAACCGTTTAAAGTATGTATTGGTGCTTATTTTTTAATAAATCCGGATTATCCGAGTTTTCAGTTATCCGAGGAGTTATGTTCAGTTATGTCCCCCCCGTTACCTCGGATAACCGGGGTTTTGCTGTACTTACAATTAAAATTGTTTTTTTAAAGTTGCGCAAAGTTGCGCAAGATGGTAACAAATGAAGGTTAATATCCAATCTTTCAAAAAACATCAGCCAATAAATTGGGCAACTTTGGGCACTCAACAAAACTCAAGGTTAAATAGCGTATTTTATTTTTTATATTATACTAATTTATTAATTAATTTAGTATGCATCAGTAAAAAAGTTTTTTTTTTCAAAATATAGCTAGAAAGAGTCAAGTAGTATTGTACTTTTATAAAAAATGCAAAAAAGTAATTGTATTTAAAAATTAACCAAGAAATTTTACTTATTATTTGGGCCCTACACATTGCAATTATTATACACGGTAGAACTAAACCTTCGACATTACTGCCCTTCACTGGTTACAGATCTGCATCCAAAATTTTTTTCTGTGCATAATATAATATTTCGGTCTTTTCTGTATTCTATGGTCATCAAAACTTTTTGAAAAAGCAACTTCTGTTTTATAAGGTTCTGGCCGCAAAAATGGCAATCGGCCCCACTGTGCGGCGGATGGTGAATCGGCCATCTCCCTCTACTCAATTCCTATTTCACCGGAAATGACTACAATTTTTGATTTTTAAATGGCACCTTGGATATTTTTTTTTTACTTTATTCGATAGAAAATAACACTCTGAATAGAATGACTTATCATTTGTCAACTTTTGACATTTTCGCATATGGTTTATTTGAAATTATAACTTGCGGTTTGTAACGAAAATTTTACTCGAAATACCAAGTGTGTGGTATCAAATTATTCGTAAAACCTTGTTCCAATTGAACCACCCTTGTTCCAATTGAAAAATTGAGATATGATTAAAAATACGATTTGAGCATTTTCTAACTGGACCAGGCACTAAAACATTAGACCATCCAATCTATTTTTCCAAGGTTCCTTGATTAAGAATTAGTACTTTTAACATAGTCATGGCACTCTAGCTTGAAATTTAAAATACAATTTTTTATTAAACAAGAATGTCAAAAAATCATTCTATTCAGAATGTCATTTTCTATCGAATAAAGTAAAAAAATGCCGAGGGTGCCATTTAAAAGTCAAAAGTTGGTTGAAACAGGAAGTGACCAAAAACAATTGAAAACGTCAATCAATCCTGATTTATGTCATATACTAACGTACCAAGTCTCGTTATTTTACCTGAAAAAATAAAAAAGTTATAGGGGTGAGCCACTTTTGAGACGCACCCGGTATAGGGTTAGGTTAGGTTAGGTTAGGAAAGTGTAATAATGATTTATTTGATTTAAGTTTTCTTTTATTTAGGATATCAGTCCAGGGTTGGTAAATACCGAAATAGCAAATGACTTGCCTAGTGATTCTTTCTTAGCACACGCTGTAGCTAACCCAAACAATTTGAAATGCGAAGATATAGCTGACGCTGTTATATATGTTTTATCCACACCACCCCATGTGCAGGTTTGTTGAGTTACCTAGTGACACTTAATAAATAGAATAAACATATCTATAGATATAGTTGCGTTATCAAAAATACTTTTATACACATCGTCAGAACTAAAAACGCAATAATAGCTAGGCGTGTAACTATAGAATGTTTAGCCATCATTCAACGTCACGCCATATATATCGTCGAACTTTCTCAATCACTTGCCAACCAGATGAAAGAGATTGGTGACGTCATTACGGCATTTCGTAAATTACGTCATATTTTTTTAGTAATACTTCTTCTTCTTCTTTCTTCTCAAACTCTCCTTTTCAGGAGAGAGTTGCGTTGCCTAGGCTGCCAGGACCATTCTGGCAAAGTACTTTTCTGCTTTTCTTTTTTCTAGGTGGTCACGTTTTATGGACCTTCACTGATTTATCTTTCTTAACGACTAACAATTATTAAGGCTATTAAACAGGTTGCTTTAGGCTCTGCGACTATTCAGTTATACATGCATTCTACGAGTACTAAGCAGCTCTAAGCACCAATAATTACTGTGCATTTCAAGAAAATGTGATTATGACATTTCAAATTTGCGGCTAGTTTTTTTTTTCTAGATTATAAGGTTAATGTTAGGCTTGTTAATAGTAAATATTTAAAGTTTTAAATTACTAACAATCAAAAACAAAGCGATTTGTTTTATGTGTTCTGTCTTGTTGAATTTGAAAAGGATGTCATGCAGGGAAATCGGTTTTAGCTCTATCTCATTGTCGAAATAGGAGTATAAGATTTTTTGGTGATTAAAATTATTGTGTGGACATTCAATTATCAAATGAAAGACATCAGCAACCTCTCCACACTGACACAAATTGTCTCTGTTGATTCTGATTTTATAGAGATGTGACGGGGATAAGCAATGGTTTGATCTGAGTCGACACATGGTGGTTATTTGTTGCTTGGTCAAGGATTTGTATTGTTTGAACCATGGAGTCCTGTATGACTGTTGAACTGTAGTGCAATATTCTTTCCCTTTCGTTCTACCAATCGTTACAAATCTTTCTTTCCATTTATTGTATATGAATTCTTTAATTTTTTTTGATTAGGGGTTATAATTTTATTGACGGACATCGATCAATATCAAAATTAATATTTGATTGTTGCTGTAAAACAAAATTCAAATTTTTTTATTGCAAAAATACCTCAAAGATTTAACCAAAGCGAACAAGACCTCATTGCTAAGCTTATAAATTATTTTTCGAGAAATAGATGCTGGCAAAACACTCTTGGGGCTCGTGGACGCCGTATACGAAGTAAGCACAATGCAAATGTGTAATATTCCTATGTAAAATACAAATTGATAACGTTTTTAAATAATATAGCTAGTTAATAATATAGGAACGTACTTAAAATTTTCTAAACAATATGAACTGATCTCAAACTAAACCTAAAACTCATATTTGCTAGATAATGATGACGTAACAGTGAACGATGGCTGAACAGCCTTTACTTATCCTATAATGGAACACTTCTAGATAATTCATAAACTAATTTAAAAAAAGTATTTATTACTATAAGTTATGTGAGAGGAAATAGCATGGTTTTCCCACGAAGACGCGAGCGAAACCGAACTTATAAATATAACCAAGCGCATTAAAATTGTCATTCTGTTCTTAACCATTGTATTCATTGTATCTGTTAAACATACTTTATGAAAAATAAAATTTTTTAAAAAAGTATTTTCGTTGTCTTAAATCAATAAATGATGTTGAATGTGACGATTGAACAGACAATGACAATCCGACATGGTGTCTGCGACTAATATCACTGGTCTTTAGTTGGTGGTGATTGGTACTAAAACAACAATCTTTTATGTATAATTTTTATTAGTTTGTAAAAGTAATTTTCAATCGGAGTAATTTTTTGTTCACTTTAAATTTTATTTTAATTTTTAATAAACCTTAAAATTTGCAGTATACCGGGTGCGTCTCAAAAGTCTGAAAACCCCTATAACTTTTTTATTTTTTCAGGAAAAAAACAGATTTGGTATGTTCTCGGGTATGTTAGTATATGACATAAATTAAGATTGATTGACGTATTCAATTGTTTGGGGACACTTCTTGTTACACCGGAAATGACTACAACTTTTGATTTTTAAATGGCACCCTCGGTATATTTTTACTTTATTCGATAGAAAATGACACTATGAACAGAATGACATATCTTATGTCAACTTTTGACATTTTCGCTTAAAAAAATCGTATTTTAAATTTCATCCTATAAATATCATTCTATCCAGAGTGTCATTTTCTATCGAATAAAGTAAAAATACCGAAGGTGTCATTTAAAAATCAAAAGTTGTAGTCATTTTCGGTGAAACGGGAAATGTCCCTAAACAATTGAATGCATCCAATCAATCCTAATGTATGTCATATACTAACATCAAATCTCGCTTTTTAATCTGAAAAATAAAAAAGTTATAGGGGTGAGCTTGTGAGACGCACCCGGTATAAAGGGAAGATAATTATTTGATTTTTGACCATGTTAACAGTTTGTCGAATATGCTGTGATGGAGTCCTTGCTTTTCATAAGATTTTTTTCTTGCAGATTCACGAATTGATCGTAAAGCCTGTTAACGAAGCATGGTAAAAATGCCTAAGGAACACATGCAAATCATCTATTTGTAACTGTAGTTTATAATAAACGCTTTTTAAGACAATATTGGTTTCCATTTAAGCAAGTTGGAATATTAAATTTTGGAGTACCTAAATGAGTATTAGTGTAGGTTTTATTGAAAACTTATTTAGAAACAAAATTAAGCCAAGAAAAAATATACAGGGCAAGTCTTAAATAAGTTCCAATATTTTTAGAGGGGTATATTTCTATAGATAAAGAAAATAATCTACTATTAAGATAGATATGAAACTTAATAGTAAAATTTTGGGGTCAAAGCGCCCTCCGTGTTTTCAGTGGAGACTACGTTTAAGGGTTTAACCCAGCGCCTTTCGCCTTTTTTTCTGCTGTAAATGTTTTTATGTTTATATTTGAATTCAGTGGATTTATTTTTAAAGTTACACTGATATATTAGTATATCAGGGTAACTTTTAATAAAACATAGGAATATATATATATTTTTACAATTTATTTTTTTATTTATTTTACCAGAGTTTCATGTAAAATGATCGTAAGTCGACTGGCTGTCTAATGAATAGACCGAGATTTATAGATTTTAAAGCGAACGAAAAAAATCAAACAACAAATATATACCATATATTTTTCTTTTTATCTAAGATACATACCTTACCGTCTTTTGAAACACGTACATTTGCAGTTTTGTTAGTTTCTTTGCAAGATGCAACACAACAAGAAAAACACCATTTTTACAGTTAATAAATAATAAAACTATTTCTGACTATGATATTTAAAATTTAGATAGATAGAAAATTAAAATACAAACGAGTATTTGCAAACGCAGGCCCAAATTCAATAAAATCAAAATTTTTCCTATGAAAATCAGGCTTTTTTCACTGAAAAGGTATTTTTTGATTTATCAGCAGTCATTGTCAAGTTGACAATATACAGGGTGTTTCTCGAATTAGTCTAAAAAAATTATGGTGTGATTCCTCATGTGTTCTTAAAACACTTTTATATAAACCATTGGTCTAAAGTACTTCCTTTCTGATCTACAGGGTGTTAAAAATTTAAAAAAAAATGATTTTTTGTTGAACATAAATGGTACACCACTGTTTTTAAAGAAAATATATTTTTCTTGACTGGCCATCCTTTTTCAACAAAATTGATCTTTTTGCGTTTTTCTTGTTCATCAAACGGTTGTCGAGAAAAATAAATATACTCTATTAAGAGCCCGCCCTTAATTCGTTTTCTAACGATTTTTTATTTTTTAGATTAATTAGAAAACACCCTGTATATGCATATCACAGGCAACCAAATAAACTAGTAACCTCTAAAAATTATTTTTCCTACCTACCACTTTTTAGTGTGTACTAAATTATTTTATCAAAATTTCACCGTATAAGTTTCCAGGCAATGGGTATATTTCGACTTCAGGAGCATGCTAATAAGGTTTCTTTCGCAAAAAAATGTTAAAATTGACTGAATAGTACGCAGTATTCGACGTTATACCTCTACTCAGTACCTTATAACTAGGGATTAGCAAAACTGCGATTCTTCAACCGCCAACCGCACATGAAATTGCGATTGCGATTTTTAAAACGCAGCGATTGTAACCTGCCATTGATTTTAATATTTATTAAACGAAATTATTCCTAAAAAATGCTTTTTATAAATATGCCAAGGAGCAATCCTCGTTCCATATGAAAAAATTGAGATATGATTAAAAATACGATTTGGGCATCTTTTAACTGGCCTGAACAAGTCGCAAAAAACAATAGACGATCAAATCTATTTTTCTAAGACATCTTGATTAAAATTAGTGTTTTTAACACAGCCATGACATTCTAGATTGAAATTTAAAATACTATTTTTTTAAGCAAAAATGTCAAATGTTGCCATATGATATGTTATTCAGAGTGTCATTTTCTATAATAATAGTAGAATAAGGTAAAAAATATCGAGGGTGTCATTTAAAAATCAAAAGTTGTAGTAATTTCGGTTAAACAGGACGTAAGTGCTGAAAACAATTGAAAACGTCAATCAATCCTAATCTCGTTTTTTATCAGAAAAAATAAAAAAGTTATAGAGGTGAATCACGCTTGAGAAACACCCGGTATATTATTAATCCTGGCCCCAGAAAATAATACCTTCTCTATAAATAAATCATATCAGAAAGAGAATTCAATCGCAGTTTACTATAAAATGCTTCAATAGAACACAAAATTACATTCGCACCAATATCGCAAAAAATTCAAACTCCCAGATAGAAATCACGGTTCCAGTTTGCAAAATCACAATCGCAACAAAATCGCAAATCGCAGCTATAGTAATACTGGTTGCCTAAATTGGAACTCGCAAATCTTAGACAAGGAAAGAGAGGGGACAGGCATTGAACTATATACTAAAGTAACTTAGTTATATAGTTCAATGGGGACAGGTAACACCGCAGCTGAAAGTGAGGCAAGTTGTCACCACTCGAAATTCTCCATTGGCGTAGCATCAGAAATTAGCTTGTACCTAGACGGTACAAAATATTTATAAAACGTAAACTAATATATCGTTAATTTTTGAGTAATGCATATACAATTTTGTATTTTATAGTCTTACCTTTATAATATTATAATATCTAAGTCGATAATGCAAAATTTATTTAACAGTCACAGTGGACTGATTATCAAGACAATTATTTATTTATTAACGTATGTATAATGTATAATTAAATAAAAAAATAATGTAATAACATATGTTTTAAACGTGTATATACATATATACTGTATGATCGAAAAAAACGACGCCTTGTTTGTTTGAAATGACACCATTAGTCGAATATAAAATTACATTATTTCATTGAACTCGTATAAATCGTGAAGGAATTGACTAGAATTTATTATAATATAATCGAAATCGACGTCTAAGTTGGCTTAAATTACGATCGATGATATTCCCCATATAATTCTACATATAAAATGACATAAAAACTATACAAAACGACATCGAAAAAAGACGGCGTCAGCGATAGCTATGAAATGAAGATGGCTGTCATTTTATATGTAACATTATATGGGGAATGTCGTCGATCGTCATTTACAAACCAACTGAACGTCGTTTTTTTTCGACCATACGGTATAATTCTAGCCATTCCCCTTCACACTTGCGTACGGATTCAATAAATAATGTAATTTTTAATATTTGTTACCTTCAATCATAAGAATATCCTAATTTTCCACAAAAAAATAAACAATTCTAGAAGCTTTGTGTTATTTTATTTATTTTTAAATTTTTATTAATTATTCACTGAAACTATTATTATACACCTAAATTAGCAAATTTTTTTGAAAGAATATTTAAAAATATATATGTAGTAAATGCAAGTAGCCCACCACAAGTTTGTCCACCCCCAGCAAAATCTTTGGCAGGTAAATTTAAGTTTTATATAAACTATACATATAGATTTTTATCACTAGAATTTTTATTTTTTTTTATAGTTTACAATTATTTTACATATTTGATAATAATATTTTATACATTTTTTACATGCAAAATATATAAAAAAATAAGTTTATTGCAGAAATTGTATTTCTCTGATTATAATTCCCACGCCACTGGAGAAATCCATGCTGAGTAGCATTATTTACATTATTTATAGTTTCAAACATTAATTATAATAAAGGATATTGAAAATACTACTTGAATTATTAAAATAGTTTGGTTTGATGTGGTACAAAACATATTAAAAGTTATTTTACATATTTTTACTGCTATAATGAAAAAAATGTACATTTTATGACCACATAATAAAAGCTGTGTATCGATTTTTACCTGTGAAATGTAATTCCAGTCACTTTTCTCGCGCTTTCGGCCTTTGCAGCCATACGCTGAGCATCTCACCATACTAAACAATACAGTTTATAAATTTAAAACAAAACAGTTTTCACAAAAAACATAAAAATTCGCTTGGTGTCACCTCGAAATCTTGTCACCAAAGTATGGCCGCCGATCGAATTTTGCTCTCACAAACCGATCACAGGAGAATATGCTTAGCCGTCCCCTCTCTTTCCTTGTCTAAGTCGCAAATAGAAGAAATCGCAATTACTGCAGTTTCCTATGAGAGCCAACCGCAGGTTGCGATTGCGATTTTAAAAACGCTGCGATTGAATCGCAGTTTGCGATTTCTTGCTCATCTCTACTTATAACCTTTCTGACATATCCTCTTTAATTTTTCCTTTCAAAAACCTTTCCATTTCAGACTAAACCTCGGACGATCCTCTCAAAAAACCAAAACAAAACTGTCTGCACCGAAAACATTTTCCAAAATAACACTGGCCGGTCTTTAAATAGTAGAGGCACAGTAGAGGATTGAGCTCCCTCTCTTCGGATATTAAATGCAGTAGATTCTGAATTCTGGCGCGGTTGAAAATATTTATTTTTGCCGGAAACTGTCAAATCGTGATGGTTCGATAACGAAAGTAATAAAAATTAAGGAGTTGTCGTGACATAAAGAAGCAGATTAGATGTTATTGTTTTATTGACAGATAGACAAAATACAGACGCAAAATTAAACAGGCTATAAAATGTTATTTGATTCTAACTTTGATCTTATTTTAGATAAAAAGTGGTTTATAAATTTCTGTTTAATTAATACCGTGTTCATCATGTTTTCAATTCTCTTGTAACTCTTGCTGTTTACTTTAATTGGTTCTTCCTAGTGGTTTTTAAAAATATAAACACTGAGTCTATACTAAAAGTGTATTTATATACCTAATACAATAAAATAATATTCAAACTAGATATAATATTGGAGCAATGCTATTTTTATATAATTTAATCGAATAATTTATGATTAACTGAACTGTTAAAATTGACATTCTTGAGATTGCTAATATGCACATACAATATAATACACAGTATATTTTAGTTTCTATAATACTTTAACACAATACACAATAAATTTATTACAATTTATCAAATGACTCTAAATGAATAATTATGAGAGAGCTTAAACTAAAAATACCTTACTTAATTTTTTTTTAGTGTATAACAGAACTTGATCTCAAATAGTTCTATGAATTAAAATAGTACGAATAGTACCTACTAAATTATTCATAACAGATGTTTTCGACTTAAAATATCTACACTGCAATGCACTAGGTACCTGCTAACAATTTTTTTTATTAATTATTTATCTCCTCATCTCAATTAGTTCTACCCATTATACATAAAATTAGCAAAGGTTATTATACAACCAACAACATAAATATGGCTGCTTATGCTTCAGATTCTCCTGGCGTATTAGATTGGCAGATTCTCCTGGCCTATAGGTATATAAATCTCGTCTTCTAAAATGGGCACAATCAAATTGTCTTTAGACATTAAGTTATACTTAGTAACAAATTGAGTAAATCTTTTAGTGTCAATATATGTTTAGAGTCAAATATAAGCCTGTGATGGAAATAAACATGTGAGAAAATTCAATAAACCCTTCTGCAAACTGATCCTAGCTTGGCTACCGAAGATTCTTTTATACTAACCCTGCTAGGAAAATATTTATTACTATTTAACAAACACGCGGCCCCATCTAATGTATGTCTAGTATAATCTATGACGGGACATTCTTTAGGAGTTTTATGGGCGGCACTAAGAAATATCCACTGTTCAGTTGCTGTCATCTGTGTGCAAGTTTCAGGATGACATTCACCTTGTAACCGGACAGCTAAACGTTTAATTCCACGCAAAATTGCCTTAGATGTTCATACTTCCAAACACTTGTCTTGAGTTTCAAGCATTTTTAGAATTAAATAAATATTGGTTGGATCTTTTCTAATTAATTGCTGAATATATTGCTGCCCCGCTAAGGTGCTATCCATTTCTTCAAAAGGTTCATCTGGCCATCGACAAAAATCCTTAGCTCCAGAATCCAGGTCTATTTCTTCGCAAAATCTTAGAGCTATCGGCCATCTTCATCTTTGACTTTTAAAAAATCCGGTTATAATGTTAAATGTTGTTATACAGGGTGGTCCGAACTGTATTCCGGAATCTTCGGCAGCATATTCTGCAGATAAAAATAAGTCAAAAAGTTCGTATAGATGTATGTCCTAACATACTTAGTTTCGGAGATAGAGGGTGTAGAAATTTCATTTTTATTTCGATTTTTCCAAATAATTTCTGAAGTAACGTCAATATTTGGATGAAAATTAGTGTCAGGGAGATTTTTGACATGAGAAATTTGATTTTGACGTCAATATGACTCCTACTTGTAAAGGGCGCAACCTACATATTTTTTAATTGGGTTTGGAGTAATAACTTTTCGTCCGTACTTGTATAAAATTATTGAGTAAAAAAATATACATTTACGAAGCTTTTTACGTAAAAAGGTCCCTTGGTAAAAATCGCTACGAGTAATGGGACTCGAGATATTTGAAATCGAAATTATCAATGCCTGTCATCATTGACATAAATTAAACATGGTTGACTAAATAATTATTAAACTGAAATCATAAATTTGAAATGTTTTTGTGCCAAAAGTTTAACAGAAACTGTTTTATCATCATTTTTTGGAAGAAAAATTTATGATTAATTTAAAAAAATAAAAAGTTCCTAAATTTATCATTTCAGGTAAATAACTATATACTCAACATGTTTATTTTTTGTCAATAATGACATGTATTGACTATTTCCACTCTAAATAACTTGAGAACGGTTGCTCGTAGCGATTTTTACCAAGAGACATTTTTTACGTAAAATATCACGGAAATATACGGTTATATACAGGTCCGGACGAAAAGCTTCAAAACAGATCAAACACATGTCGGTGGGGCGCCACCTACAAATTAGGAGTCACCAATTTTCAAATATTGACGTTACTTTGTTTGGAAAAACCCGAAATAAAAATGAAATTTCTACACCTCCGAAACTAAGCATTTTAGGATTTAGGACATACATTTATTCCAACTTTTTTACTTCTTTTTTATTGCAGAATATGCTGCCGAAGTTTCCAGAATACAGTTCGGACCACCCTGTAAATAAATTATAAACAGAAACAGTCAATTAAGAAACAAAACAATCAATAACTGATACAATTAAAATTGTTCAAAATTTATTGCGTAGAAAACTTAAAAAATATATATTTCACATATACTGCTCACAGTGTCCACTGTGGGTAGGTTTGATGAGGTAAAAAAGCCCCGAGACTGTGTGATGAGTAAAAGTAAGAAAGGGGAACATAATAGATCTGTAAAGCCGCGTACCCACTGGCGAACTGCAACTGTAACTGCAACCGTTGCTGCAACAGAATCGTCGCGAAGGTATGCACGTTTCTCTCCTCGCGAACCTCTCGATTCGCAGTGTTTGCACAGAGCTCGCGAGCACAATGTCCCATTAAAGAACCAATTTCTGTCCAAGCATCTTCTTTTAAATGTCTCTTGTAATAGTCTTTATTTTTTCGATCCCATATTATAGGCATGTTTTTCTACTTTTCAATTAGCGCCAAAACTTTTTCTTCGGTCCCACGTACTCATATTTTTGTTGGTTGCGAGACTATTGCACGCACACACTGGCGAACGTCCCAAATCGACGTCTACTAACCAACCGAGAATCTCTTTGTGTTCGTCCTGAAAACCGACAACTGGCGGCTCGCTGCGAGCTGTTCGAAGCTAGCTCGCGAACCTGGATCGCAACGCGTCCACACTATAGAATTTGGTTACAGCAACGGTTGCAGTTACAGTTGCAGTTCGCCAGTGAGTACGCGGCTTAAGGTCGCGGTGATTAATCCCCTTTCCACACAAGGACAAGACAACAAGGAAGAGGTAAATACTTTTACGACTAATTAAGATTTTTTTATGGAATCTTCTTCATAAATCTTTCACCCTGTATTATATAGCCATCCGAACAAATTCAAAAAGCAGAAAACGAAGAAAAAACGGTTATTTACCCGACAAAAATCCTCGTCTATCGTTTTGGGCGCTCGCCAGTTTATTTTCGAAAACGTTCGCGTTTCTTCGGGTCCGATCGGCTCGGACGCCGGACGTCGCCGTCTCGCGACGTCTGTAACGGAACCAGTGGTGAAAATTCGGCCGGTATTCGGTTTTCCTTGCCCCGAACTAAGTCAAAATTCGTTAATGAAAAGTTTTAAAGTAGTTTTCGGTTGATAAATAAACATTTCTTGAATTATTTGATCGCGTGCGTTGGTGGGTGAAGTTTTGACAACATTCAGTGACTAGTTTTTGATAAATATTATTGTTAAATGGTTTAAGAAACTTTGATTGGTGATGCTACAGAGTTTAAGAAGGAATGAATGCTGACAATTCAGATTTGACAGAAATACATTCAAAAAGGTATTTGTAATATAAAGTTCTTGTAATTCATTTCTTAATCTTCAATTTCATTATTGAGGCTGTGACTGAATAACAATATTATAAATATTACTACTTGTGTTATAATTTAAGTAATATAAACTAGAAAACAAAGTAAAGTAATCCGCTAAGATTCTAATCTAATCTAAACCGCTAAGATTTCAAAAAATTTCTAGCCATAGTCGAGACGATCAAAAGTTGAAAGTTTTACTGAAGTTTGACAGTAAACATATAAAATGCATGGCAAGTACGCAAGTCTGTTGTTATATTTGATTATAATGGTTTATAAGTATACTTAACATATTGTCATTGTAACTAAGTATGTATATACAATTGGTCAAGTAGTGTTTCAAGAAAAATACTTTATTTAAATTGTTGTGATGCATGATAGGAGTTCTGTTGTTATATTTGATTATAATGGTTTATAAGTATACTTAACATATTGTCATTGTAACTAAGTATGTATATACAATTGGTCAAGTAGTGTTTCAAGAAAAATACTTTATTTAAATTGTTGTTTTTCTAAGAATTAAATACATAGTTAAAAAAAGTAATACAAACTATATCTATTAAAATACAAGTATAATCTATTCCACTAATTTCGAGGTTCAAGTTTTCCCTTTCGTTGTTAATTTTTGTTTACTTTGATACGTAAGGTGAAACCCAGAAATAAAACCCAGAAAAGATCAACTGAAACATAAAAATGATAACACAAGAAAAACTCAAAGACCTGAATATGAAATTAAACAATAATCGCATGTGATATTCAATTTTGAATATCACATAGAAATGAAAATATTTTGAATATCACATATCATACAGGGTGGCCCATCGAAAACGTTCCGCAAGGCATAACGGCCAGGGTATATTTTAAAAAAAAAATCCAAAAACACGTCAATTTTGTTTGTGAGGTGGACAACTTTTGACGCAAAAATGATTGCAAAATCTTTATCCCTCTAAGCGGAGGTGTCATCCCCCAACTTTTTTCAAATGGGAAGGGGAGTGGAGTGGAGTGGCGCCGCAATGAAAAGGACTTTCTATTTTCTATATTTCCCCGCTTCGTTTTTAAAAATCGGTCGAGTTATTTTGAAAATATGAAGGATTGAAATTTGAAAAGTACTTTTTGCAAAAAAAACGCATAAATTGAATTAATTAAAAAAACTTACCTTATTAATGAAGCAAATGCTGAAAATGTTGCCCGTCAACCTCCATACAGTAATACAAATTATTTTCAAACCGTTCTCGAACATTCTGAAGAATTTGCGGGGTCACTTCGCGGCCAACATCAATAATTCGTCTTCGCAGGTCTTCTAATGAGGCGGGTTAGGTTACTAGTGCTATACACTTTACTTTTTATGTGTCCCCATAGAAAAAAAGTCTAAAGGAGTCACGTCGGGTGACCGGGGAGGCCACTCAATTGCACCCCTTCGTCCTGTCCACCGACCGGGAAAGTTATTATTTAAATAATTACGCACATTTTGAGAGTGATTTTAAAGAGATTTTTTTTTGAGGTTTACCGTCTTGTTGAAATATTAGTTTGGCTTCAACGTATCCAGGATTGTTCTCTGTGATGTCAGTTAGGGCTGGGTCGATGGTATTTTCCAGTAAATCCAAGTACATATCACCTGTTAGATTTCTAGGAAGAAAAAAAAGATAGAATTTCCAAAAATACCAGCCCACACGTTCAATTTCTGAGGGTTTTGTGTGTGCACCTCGTGAAAAACCCTGGGGTTGTCCTCAGCCCAGTACCGACAGTTGTGCCGTTTAACTACACAAAAAGAAAGTACACTCATCCGAAAAACACACATTAAATAGGAAATTATTATCATTCGCCACTCGTTCACTCATAGTTTCGCAAAATTGCAAGCGACGGTCAAAATCGTCTTCGTTGAGTTCTTGTACCAATTGAATTTTGTACGGGTGGAAGTTATTTCCACTTTTTCTGCATGTGAGTACATCATAATTGTTAAAAAGTTTAACAATATTGAGAAGAACTTCAACGCACAGTCTTCAAGTCACAGAACAGCTATCTAGCAACTACCGCACATGATCGTCCAACCTTGTGGCAAGTGAAAAAATGTGTATAAACATCTAGAAATGATAAGAAAAAACAGCAAATTGGACGAAGGAATTTATCCTTATCATTTACTCTGATAAATGTTTAAATAAGCTTTTCAAATTTAAATCCTTCAAATATGAATTCTTCTCAATGACTCGACTGATTTTCAAAAACGAAGCGGGAAAGTATAGAGAATAGAAAGCCCTATTCATTGCGGTACCACTTGAGCCCCCTGCCCATTTGAAAAAAACTGGGGGATGACACCCCCGCTTAGAGGGTTGAAGATTTTGCAATCATTCTTGGGACAAAAGTTGTCCCCCGCGCAAACAAAATCGACGTGTTTTTGAATTTTCTGAAAAAAAAATTACTCTAGCTGTTATGCCTTGCGGAACGTTTTCGATGGGCCACCCTCTAGAAATGAAAATATTTTCACGATTTAAAAAAACCTAATTTGAAAAATAGTTTTTTGTACAGATGAGAAATTTAGTCGCAGAAATAAATTTAATTTTGTAAAATCATAAAATGTTCTATACAGGGTGAATCTTAAATAAGTGCAAATATTCTCAGGGCTGGTAGATCTCGATAAAAGAAATATATTTTCTCTTTACCGTTTTTCAAATAAGTCCAAAATAACCGAGATATTTTACTTTGAAAATAAAAAAAATGATATTTTGCTTAAATTTTGAGACCCCCTGGATTTTTTTCTGGGTTTTCTTTCTTGTAAATTTAATCTACTACCTACAATGTTGCCATATTATGAAGATATTAACTAAAAATTAAAAAAAATAAAAATTCCAAATTTAAAAAAAAATCCGCGAAAGAAAATCGTAGACGCGTTTCTGGGGTTAAAATATATTACTCCCAAAAATAGTTATTATTATTCCACTTATTTAAGGCTCACCCTGTATAGTTAATGTAAATATAATGAATAAATAATAATAAATACTAATAAATAATAATACATATAATGTAATTAATATATATGAACATTTTTATACAGGGTGTCTCAAAAAACATGTGCTATCTCTCGTGGGGAGATTCCTCACGTAAAAATAAGACATATTTTTCATATCAACATATGTTCTACTTTGTTTCATAGCTACAGGGTGTTAAAGTTTTAATAATCTTTCGATTTATTTTAATTTTCTTCCAAGTACTTTTAGTTATTTGAATGAAATTTTGGGGATAAAAGTTACTATAAGTGTTACATATTTTAATGCTAAAAAAGTGTCAATAAATTCATCAGGGACGTGCATATGGGTTATCACTGGAATATTTTTCAAGAAAAAAAAACATGTGCGCCACTGACTTTTTTCTTCTTGATATCAAAATTGTCTAGGCCGTCTAATGCCAATTAAAAGTTATCTCTTGATTCCAATTCCAATTCGGACTCCTTGATGAGATAAACGCAAGTTTATCAATCACAATTAATAAAATTAAAATAAAAACAAAATTAATAAATTGCATATTTTACTTAATTTATTATTAAATATTATTACTATTAGTTATTACTACTATTAGTCCAACATACAGCAATTTCAAATAAAAAATAATGGTATTTAAGACAACTACAAAAAACCTAATTTGTATTGTGAAGCAAACATACCCTCTTTAGAAGATCGAAGAAAAATACGGTTGTCAAATTACATGACAAAAATATTAGCCCTGGATGAACATCCTTATAATAAAATATGTATGAGAGAGGCTGAAAACCATCCCCCCTTCAGTAGATCAGCTTTTGGAAGAATTAGGGAGTATCTGAGAATTAGAGAAGTAGACCCACCTCAATTATTACGCCTTGAGTCAAGTGAAATTCCTCCTTGGAAGTGTCCTCCGCCTGTAGTAAATTTCGAATTGGCGCAAGTTAAAAAAGGTGAAATCTCAAATACACACTGGCAGCAGAGCTTCCTCGATATTAAGAATCGAGAGAATGTAGATTTCGTCATCTACACGGATGGATCCAAAACTAATGATGGCGTCGGGTGCGCTTTCGCTACCGAGGACAAGACTTTTTCTTGGACCTTAAGTAATATCTCCACAATTTATTATGCAGAGCAATATGCACTTTGGCAGGCTCTGCTTTTCCTTACCTTATCGAATGGTCCCTCTAAATGTCTAATTGTTTGTGACTCAAAGAGCGTCTTAGAAAGTCTCTTAGATATATTTACTAAAGATCCTATGACACAAAATATCCAAATATTGATTCATGATCTAACAAGGAGAGGTTATAAACTCACATTATTGTGGGTTCCAAGCCATGTAGGAATAGCTGGTAACGAAAAAGTGGATAATGCTGCACAGGAAGCCAGTATAAAAGATGTAGTAGATGTTACAATGGTTAAACCTTCCGATTACCAAGCTTATCTAAAATCTATTATTCTGAACGAATGGCAACAAAGGTGGCAAAATCTAAACAAGAATTTATATAGGATAAAGCCACTGGCTTATGGTAAATATCTACGTGTTGAATTAGATCGAACCAGTTTAACCAAGACTCACAGATTTCGCATTGGTCATACCGCACTGACGCACAAACACTGGGGAAGATGCACCTCTGTGTGCGGATTGTCAGATTAGACTGACAGTCGAACACATTGATTGTGATTGCCCAAGGTATGAACCCCAAAGACACCTGTTTAATCTTGTGAGACCATACGGAGAAAACTTAAAAGATAAACAGTCAATTGCTAATTGTTTAAACTTCTTAAAAGCTATAAATCTGTTTAACGAAATTTGAAAATCTAGATATTTATGTATCTATGCAAATTATTTATTTGTTTGATTATTTGTTTGTCTGTTTGTTCTATTTATTTATTTATTTATTAAATTGTGCTGTACCCTATACTCTTACCTGTTTGTTTTAATATTTATATTAAGATGTTTACTTATACATTTATACCTATATAGTATTTATTAGATTATTTGATTATTTATTTATTTATTTACTTTTACGTTTTTATATTTGTATATATTAAGTGTTCGTGTTATACTTAAAAAATTGTGCTGTACCCTATACTCTTACCTGTTTGTTTTTATATTTATATTAAGATGTTTATTTATACATTCATACCTATATAATATGTTTTTGTTATTATTTTACACTTACTGTTGAAGTAATGTCTCTATAATAGGCGAAATGACCTTGGATGTCGAAGCCTTATTAATAATAAAAAAAAACTAATTTTAAAAAGTTTTAACATCCAGTAACTCTAAAACTATGCATTTCCATACCCATGGTTATAGGAACTTTTTTTCATATTTTTTGATGAGGAATCAATGAGTACTTATTTAAAATTTTGCAAGTTAATGATCTTAATTTTTTTTAAAGGTTGCTATTAGACTTGGAACAAGACAAATTAATAAAATTGCGTTTATCTCATCAAGGAGGCTGAAATCGACAAAATATCAAGAGACAACTTTTAATCGGAATTCAACTGCTTACAGTATTTTGCTAACAAGAGAAAAAAAAGTCAGTGGCGTACATGCTTTTTTTAGAAAAATATTCCAGTGATAACCCATATGCACGTCCCTGGTGAATATGTCGACACTTTTTTAGCTTTAAAATATGACGCATTTATTGTTACCTTTACCATTAAAATTTCATTCGAAATGTTAAAAGTTATACTTGGAAGAAAATTATAATAAATTAAAAAAAATATTAAGACTTTAACACTATGTAGCTATGAAACAAAGCAGAATCGAGCCTATGTTGATATGAAAAATAAGTCTTATTTTTACGTGAGGAATCTCCCGACGAGAGATGGCACATGTTTTTTGAAACACCCTGTATAAATTTTATGCATTCCAGATTTTAAATATCCATCCTTAGGCTGGCTGCATTTTAATTTTTCTTCCGAAATTTTAATTTGCAATAATTTCCGAAAATAAATTCTTTAAATCAAATGTGAATAATAAACAATGTCGACATTGTATTCATAACCCAATTTTCTGTTCTGTTGTTCTATATTTAAAGTGATTCTTTGACACAAAAATCATTAAATCCATATATTCTATATTTAAAACTGAACGTACTTATTGCTACACTCTGCATTTCATCTACTAGCTGAAACCATCAGACGTGAGTAGCTTAAGCCATAAAATCTTAAAAACTTAATAAAGATAAGTGAAGAGGATAGTGCCTTTAATGGGTTAATTTAATTACAGACAACTAATTGTGATGTAAATAAAAAGATAAATATAGTAAAATGTATTTTGTGTTACTATAAAAACTTTCAGTTCATGTAGGATTCTCTTGTGATTGTGAAAAAAGTTTAGAAGCAATTGGATATCAGAGGTTTATATCGTCACCTCCACACAAAGCGTCGTATAACTTGATAACTCGATTTTGAAAATTTTACTTATAATTATTTATTTTTTAAAAGTCTTTTTTATCATCAATCAAAAGTCTTTTACACAAATCTAAAAATTAATTTTTGTTAGTTATGCCTTATACAGGGTGGTCCGAACTGTATTCCGGAAACTTTAGCAGCATATTTTGGAGATAAAAATAAGTAAAAAGTTCGCAAAATGTATGTCCTAACATACTTAGTTTCGGAGATAGAGGGTGTAGAAATTTCATTTTTATTTCGATTTTTCCAAATAATTTCTGAAGTAACGCCAATATTTGGATGAAAATTCCACACCTGTAATTTTTAACCAATCAAAACGTGTTTTTTTGACAAATCACCATGGCAACGAATAAATTTTAGTGAAAATTTTTGGGCACCCAACAGCGAATTATACTGGAAATTTTTTGACGTTTATAATGACAGAATATCTTTTTGAGAGTCTGGTTTTTATTTTTTACATGATAATTTTGACACATTTCAATTACAAAGCTGAGATGAATGTTTGTAAACTGCTTCCATACGCTTGACTTCGATTTCCTAGTATTTGCGGGTGTCAACTGCTTAATCTCCTGGCGAATATTTTCTTTGCTTACATGACCGAAGCGAAATATCTTTTTAAGCCGTGCCGCTTGACAGTTTCAAAACTGAAATAGTTTTTAGGTTTGGGTGTCACTTAGGTGTCATAGTAACTAAATAATCGAAAAATACATTTTAATTATTTGATTTTCAAACACAATTTGGTGTGGAATTTTCTTACCGAATATCAAACGAGGTCAAATTAAGTCCGGACATTTTTTCTCGCTCAATGAACCAAACCAAAAATTTCCGGAAATAATTTGACCTCTAGTGGTATTACTAGTGAAAATTGGTGTCTGGGAGTTTTTTTACATGAGAAATTTGATTTTGATGTCAATATGAGTTCTACTTGTAGAATGAGCCTCGTACATATTTTTAACTGGTTTGAAGATTAATAACTTTTCGTCCGTACCTGTATAAAACACTGAGTAAAAAAGTATACATTTCCGACGTATTTTACGTAAAAAAGGTCTCTTGCTAAAAATTGCTACGAGTAATGCTCCTCGAGATATTTGGAACCCAAATTACCAATACCTGTTATTGACATAAATTAAATATGTTGACTAAATAGTTATTAGACTGAAATCATAAATTTGAAATGTTTTTGTGTCAAATGTTTTATCATCATTTTTTCGAAGAAAAATTTATGATTAATTTAAAAAAAATAAAAAGTTCCCAAATTTATCATTTCAGGCAAATAATAACTATCTCCAGGAATTCCGCTACAATTGGAATATGTAGCGGAATTCAATTACCTCGGCAGTTTGATTTCGGAAAAGGCCAATATCGACTCGAAATTCAGCACAGGATTAGCAGCACCTCAAGAGCATTCTATGGAAAGTAAAAGATTGGGTTTTCTACAATCATGACTTGAGCACAAAAACTAAACATGCAGTGTACCGAGCAATAATAATCCCCACCATGTTATATGGAAGCGAAACCTGAGTGCCGTACCGCCGACACATGAATGCATTAAACAAGTTGCAACCTACTCTGCTAAAATCTCTGCTTTACTGTGAGCTTGTAGACTGTAAGAGGAAGCCGGGTGGACAACTCAAAAGATACAAGGATATTTTCCACGAAAACTTAAAGGGAATTAACATGCAGAATCAATAAGATAATACATCTGTAAGGTCGCAGTGATTAACCCCCTCCCACTCAGGCAGTATCAATGGGAAGAAGCAGTTCACAATAGAATGCAATGGAGAGGAATTACAAACTCAGTTAACAGCGACAACCAAAAAGTAAAGAGGCTACAAAGCAATGATATTTTTGAATGTCCGGAGTGCGGTAGACAGATAACATCACGTATCGGTCTTTTCAGTCACAGAAAAAAGGTCATGAAAGAAAACGCCTTGCGTGACCATTTTCTGATGCGTGTCAAATACTCGCTAGCGAGTAATGGCAGTATGTATGTATATATGTATGTAACTATCTACTCGTGTTCAGTTTTTTGTCAATATTGACATGACTATTTCCATTCTGAATATCTTGAGAGATCGGTTGCTCGTAGCGGTTTTTACAAGGAGACATTTTTTATGTAAAAAATCACGGAAATGTACATTTTTTCACTCAGTAGGTTTATACAGGAACGGACGAAATGTTATTACTCTTCAAAACAATAAAACACATGTAGGTGGCGCCCTCTACAAACAGGAATCATATTTACATCAAAATCAAATTTCTCATATCAAAAAACTCCTAGACGCCAACTTTCATCAAAATATTGACTTTACTTCAGAAATTATTTGGAAAAAATCGAAATAAAAATTAAACTTCTACACCCTGTATCTCCGAAACTAAGCATTTTAGGACATATTATATTTCTAAGAACTTTTTTACTTATATTTATCTGCAGAATATATCTCCGTAATACAGTTTGAACCACCCTGTATATTGTTTTACAGTTATAGCTTCGGTTATAGCTTAAAGTAGCGTTACATTTTATGTTATAAAACCATAAGATTGTTATAGAATTATAAGAATTCTCTTATATTTCTTTTCTATATCTAAAAATAACCCTAATCAATAAACATTTTCGATATAAATTCTCAATCCATTTTAGATTGACATGGGCACGCAATCCTTATTTTAATTCAAATTATACTTTTGGCAATTCTATGCCCAATTATCAAGCGGTACAGAAACACTGAATCATTTCTTCTTCTTTGTATTTTTTAGAGTGAAGACCGCTACATTATTTATCTGTATTAAGACGCCATTTTTATGCCACATCACGAATTTGGAGCTGTTGAATGAACTTGAATCAATGAATGGACATTTAAAAGTTTGATCAGTGGTGTAGATATTTTTGACCAGTTGGCTGGCGTTATTGGGCCTAATGGAAAGTCCTGTTGAAAATGAGCAACTACAGAAATTATGTAAGTATTTAGTAATTAGTTAATACTTGCAAAAATATTGATCATACTTTGGGCAAAGTTAGTACCTAGTTAGGGAAGATTAGCCTAAACTGGTGGTTTTCTGACCATTTAATGTTGAATTTGACAACAAGTTCTTAATAAAATTTATTAGAGTAACTTAAATTAACAAAGGATACCTGGCTATATGCCGGATATAAAGGTGTTTACCTAATTTCAGGCGAGTTTATTAGAAGTATCTAGGGAACTACAATATCTACATCGGAGATTTTTTGCATATCATTGTCTCACAATGAGATCTATCAATTAAAAATATTTTCCATAATCTATCAATTAATATAATATATTTTAAATAGGTACTTTCATTTTTTATTAGATATTTAAATTCTCTGTAAAATTTTATGTATTTTTATATCAAACACTCTATACCGAAAATTAACCGATTTTGAGAAAAAAATATTTAAAATTTTTGGAGGGAAAAAAACTGCCTGCCTAAACGTCAAATTTAGTGATTATCACAGCCACTGTAACATAAAGCGAAGACATGTGGCTATCTATTTCAAAAATTAAATTATTCGAAAGCCATATTATAATACTGTCATGGAATTGAGAGATTAAAAAATTACCATAAATATTTTTTTTTGAAATAGTAATCCACATTTTTTATTTCACCCGTGAAAATGTTTTTCAATTAATTACTTTTTGATTATACATGTTCCAATTTCCAATCCCTAAAATAAATCGTTTTTTAGTTTAGTACAAGATTTAGTTTTAAAGGGTAATTTTTTCTTGATTTTATCTAGCTTCTTTTGACATTAAGTGTCAAACAATCAGTGTCATACATAAATGTCAAACATAAGTGTCAAACAAAATATTTCTTTCTGTCAAAAACTAATTATTTGGATTTCGCATATGATTCATTATACAAGGTCTGAGACACTGATATCTAATAGTTGACATTAACAATACACCATACCTTTGAATAAGAAGACTAAGGAAGGAGCATATCAAAAATCTTAGGTGCACCGCGATAGGCCTCAAATATGGCCGACTTAAATTCCGGTTTATCAGTGCCGTTCTAATTTTATTTAATAAATGTAAAACTATGATGTACGGTAGACGTGGGGTAGACTCAATAATTTTTTTTATTATTTTACGTTGTGAGTAAATGTTGGTAGTTATTAAAATTGTTATAAAAATATAAAATTCAAATAAAAATAGATAAGTTATAATAATTATTTATAACCATAAACATCCGATACGCTACTGAAGCAGGTAAGTCAAATTGACAAGTAGTAAATAAAAGCAAAAATGCAAGAAAAAATATATGATTAGTTAATTTAAGTGAATTTCATAAATGATCGGTTTACTACACGTATGTATATTATATAGTCACTTACTAGCGAAAAGTTGTTCCATTATTTCACTCGATTTTTGCCGAGATCTACCGCACGCTACACAACCAACTATTTTAGAGTCTTTTTCGATAAATCGCGATAGTGTCACTGTTAATTTAAGTTCTGCCACAATTTCCATCTAGATTTACTACCTTTATACAACTATCAGTAGTAGAATAAATAATAAATAACATAAAATAAGCTCAGTAAAGACTGACAAATCCACAAAATTTCAAATCAAATTCAAATGTGTCAAATGAATCGTCAAACAGAACTGTCAAGGATCCCCACCCTAGAGTGCTTTTTCCGCCCACCATGCATGAATACATGGATAGCATTATGCTCCTTCCTTAGTCTTCTTATTCAAAGCACCATACGATCGAAAAAAAAATGGCGCAAGGTTGTCTTGGACATGACGATCGATGACATACTTATTTTTCTTTTATCAAAGTGTCGTAATATGACATGGCCAGATATATTGTTTTACATCGTTTGACGTTTAAAGTCATAACGAAAAAAATTGGCGCCGGGAGGCACGTATAGCCACCCATACTAAAATATGTTAATAAAAAGTTGGTAGGCAGTTCTATTAGTTTAAAAGTAAAGGAATTTTTCCAATTTTTTTTATCTCAAAAACTGCGACTTTGACTGATTTTGATGTTATTACAAATTTTGTTGCAAATATTATTTCTAATCTTAAATTGAAAACCGCGTTTAGCTAGCTACTGTAATTTTGGAGTTACGATTTTGTAAAATTTTTAACCCCCTCCCATACCCCCTTACCAACCCCCCACCACCACCAAACACTAATGGCCAGATTCTCGGGTGCTACAGTATTTTTGTACCAAATTTGGTTAAAATCGGTTTAGCGGTTTTTGAGTTATCGTGTTACAGACGGACAGACGGACAAACACACAGACAGACACCATGAAAATATTTTGTATTCAGGTCATTTATGACCCAAATAACTCATTTTGAGTGAAATTAAGAAAAACTTTTTTTTGTCGATCTTAATAGCCTACCATATCTGTTGGTATGGTCGGCTAAAAATGATTTATGATAATTTTTTAGTCTCCCAATTCCATGACAGCTACGGCCAATATTACATGACATGTAATGTTGTAAGTATGTAATAAACAATGGGGGTACCGGTTTAAAATATGAAAGTTGCTGTCAAATCTCTCACTTCCGGTATTTCTTGAACTGCCGCCATATTGAAAATATTTTTGATCGATAAAAAAAATCTCCGATTTGGATAGTGTAGTTCTCTAGAAACTTCTAATGAATGCTCAGCCTGGGTCACCCTGTATACCGGGTCCAAGACCTTCAGTATTTAATTGAATTTCAATATACTAGGTGTTTGCTCATCACTGCTTATAGTCCTATAAAATACATCCAATTCAATAGTAAGTTTATCTTAAGATTAAGATAATACAGTAGTAATTATATAAAAATATTCATGCCTTACATTATGTGAATCTAAAACAAAATTATGCATCCTAATGTATCATTCCCATGACAAATTGGTCTATTTTAATTCAGCAATAACTTTATAATTTAATGTCCTACTATTTTAAGAGCACTTATTTTGCAAAGGTGACAAACAGGTGTAATTATTCATAAACAACTTTAACTGGAACTGGGCACCAAAAGAATAAACAAATATGTTTGTGAACTTTTGTTTATAATCTTCAGGTATATTTGACTATTTTAATTCAACTTTGATAATAACGCAAAGAAATTTCACAGATGAATGTCACGCTATTTTAAAAGTTGCTTGTTAATATCCATAAATACACTCATAGGCAAACTGAGGACATTTACATGCATCTATCAGACAGGGCGGCATTTTCATTAGTAAAAATAGACGTTCGGGATCCAGAAATAGGTAGATGGAAGAGTAAAACAACCTGCAGAATGACTTTTGGCTCCTTTCAAAGGGTTAATTATTTTCCAGATCAAAGAACTCTTGTCAGATACTTATAATGAATATACTGGAATATTTTCTGGATAATATTACCCCTATCAATTTTGATTTTTATTATGACAGATAAACAATTATTATGGAAAATTATATTATTTATTTTTAAAGCTTGCTTGATCATAAACTACTTTAGAGAAATCTAACTATTTTAGACAAGGAATAGCTTTCTCCGTAATCTATCTTTGGATAGGTTATGGGGAAAATAACGGCAATCCATTATTGTGCAGAAGAAATAATAAGGCAGGAAAGAATACATCTGTTCAGTTGTCATTTTCACAGACAGCCAAGCAAGGTTAAAGACACTCGGTTCCACAGTTGTTAATTCTAGACTTGTGTGATCAGAGAAGAACATGCGGTTGTTCTTCTCTAGTGGGTGAGCTTTGAATATGAGCGTAACAAAGTGTTGGGTACCGTGGTATGATAGTCACACGGCCAAACAAGGTTTATCAATGCCACTCATAGATGCAGAAGCATTCAGAGACAGGTGACAAAGTTCATAGTAGAACGTTCGTGAAAAATTACGGCAAAATGGTAAGGACCTGATGAGCAAAGACAGGAAGACCCTCAAAGCTGTAGTGGGTCTCTGAAGAGAAAACGACAGAACATGTTTTATTGTGCGACAGCCTGAAAAATGTGCAATTTTTTGTATTCGGCAATGATAAGCCATTGAAAAAGAGATATGGAGGGTTCTGTCTCCAAGCTGTTAGTTTTTGAAGTGAAACTTCTTTACGCGCTATGGGAGTAAAAATTGAAGGACACGAGTCGGCCTTGATTGACGGCTGCGGGACGGTATGACCTTGTCATATGACGCGAAGGTCATGCGAAGCATCAGATCAAAGAAGTAATCGTTGACAGGAGATATGCCTTATTTTGAGTATTTTATAGGGTTATGGCACAGGTTATCTTCTTCTTCTTCTTCTTTTTTTATGATGGCTCTACTACAAGGCAACCGCCAGCTCAATTTGAGAGTGACCAAGATGTTGACTGGCTCTAAACCATATCAAGGCCACTGATTCTTATCTGAGTACAATGTATAATGGGTAAATTTTAATATAACTAACTTCTATGAAGGTAACCTGTGACTGTAAAATGTTATTATTATTATTTATTAAATATATAAATGACATGCTGAAAGGAAGATTATATCACAAACAAAGGCACATAGGGTAGAGATCACACAAACAGACTGCATTCGGAAACTGAAACAAAAAGAAAATAAAAAATAGAAAGTTGAGCATTATAATTTAATTCTATTAATGTTTAAAAATATCATAATAGTTTCTATTAATTTTTCACTTGGCTTAGACAAAACTGTAAATATTGATAGTGGAGTAGGAAAATTAATTTCAATAAATTTTTGATATAAATCCAAATTAAACAAAAAAATTATAGGACATTCTAAAAAGATATGATTTAGGTCTTCAACAGAGCCACACTCACAGTATGGATCTTCCTTCACTTTAATTTTATATAAATTGTTTTTTGTTAAGCAATGGCCTGTACGCATTCTAATTAACGTTGTAATATCTTCTATCTATATACTGGAAATTTTTAAACCATTGTTTATCTGGAAAGATTGTTTGCATATTAAAATACACATGCTTTTTTCCTTTCATACGAGA